TAGTCTTCTGACATCAAGGTGGAGGTTATTAGGCAAATTGTTGTCAAATGACCTCCCAGACTATAATGTAAACTAGATTTAATTATTAGTCGGCTTTGTCCAATTGACTAAACAATCACCAACTCCTCATAATTATACAACTCGACCCTAAAACCAATTTTGGGCCATTGGTAACAACCTAATTTCATCAGAGTTGCTTATGGCCCTTTTCGACTCCATTGTCACACCCTAATTTACACTCATATATGTGCCTCATTCTTTTTACCGTGCGTGTTACTTCCTCCATTTTGAGAAGAAAATCGATGCCTCTTTTTCACTATGATTGAGTCCCTCTTCGATTTCTCTTTTTCTCTTGGCCTTAGTGACTGCCTTTGTGTCTATAATAACATCTCTATTCGTCTCTCTTCGTGGGCAATATAAAGCAACCGAAGTTTGGAATTTTGTGCCTTGCTTTGGTTCGACTAGTTTTGGCGGTTTCGTGTGAGGTTTTGGTTGATTTGGAGTTAACTGAGCCCAAAGTAATCTCGTGGTGGTCAAGTTATCACTCTTACAACCATCAAGATGCATGATGGTACTATCAGACAATTAAGAAATGTAAGATATGTCCCTAATCTAAAAAGAAATCTTATATTTTATGGAATTCTTGAACGAGAAGGTCACGTCTTCAAATCTGAAAATAATACACTAAAAGTCATGAGAGGTTTCGTAGTTGTAATGAAAGGACCTAAAAAATGGATTTCACAACCTAATGGATGATGCAATTGCTTCACAAGAAGCTAATCTCCTTAGTGTTATTATTGATAAATCTGAACTATGGCACAAAAGAATAGGACACATAGGAAATACATGTTCGACATATTTGAGTGACCAAAATTTACTTGATAAAGGTTTCATTGAACCTTTAAACTTTTGTCAGATCTGTAAGTTGGGAAAGTCTCATAGGAAAAGTTTTGAGAAGGGTTCACATACAACGAAGAGACATTTGGATTATGTTCATACAGATTTATTGGGGCTTGAAAAGCATCCACTTTCGATGGAAATAAATACTTTCTGTCCTTAGCAAATGATTACTCTAGAAAAGTATGAGTTTACCCTTTAAAGTCTAAATCTAAGACTTTTCATAAACTCCGAACTTGGCTTAAAATTGTGGATAATCAATTGGAAGTTAATAACTTTGAATATTGATAATTGCATATAGTTTTGTAAATTGGAATTTGATACTTTTGTAAGCAAAAGGGAATCATGAGACATAGGACGGTTAATTACACACCCCAACAATGTGGGGTTGCAAAAAGTATGAATAGGACCTTATGAATAAGGTCTGGTGCATGCTGATTAGTTAAGGCGTTGCTAAGAGGTTTTGGGCTGAAGCTGTATGCATTGCAACATATTTGAATAATAGATCTCTATCTAGTTTTATCAAGTTTAAAACTCGTCAAAAACTATTTACTGGAAAGCCATTGAATTTAACACATATTAAAGTGTTTAGACGTGAGCATAACTCACCAAACTGAGGGCAAGTTGGAGCCTAGAGCCACTAAATGTGTTATGTTTGGCTATCCTAAGGGGGTTGAAGGTTACGGGTTGTGGGTTTTAAGGGTACTAGGTATTAAGATCATTAATAGCAAGGACGTTGTATTTAATGGATATGAAATGCCTTGTCTAAAACCCAAACATGGTGATTCTGAGAAAATTGAATCTAACAAAAAATTATAGAATGAGGTAAAGTTGGCAAAACATGACTTCGTTCAATCTAATGAGAATAAACTCGTGATTGATGAGGTAGATATACCTCATGAAGAAACTGAATTGCAAACTGACAGTCCGATGATTGAGAGAATCCTATCCAAGCTTACCAATTGGTTAGGGATAGAGTAAGAAGGAAAATTATATCAAATTCAACATATGAGTCTAAGAACTAGAGTGATTTTGCCTTTGTTTCAGGTGAAGGCATTGAACATTCAGAACCTTCATTTTTTCAAGAAGTTGTATATGTGCCTAAATCTGTTAACTATAAGAAGGCAGTGGAGGAAGAAATGCAATCCTTAATCGAAAATAAGACTTCGAATTTGGTTAATTTGTCTAATGGTCAAAGAATTGTACAATGTAAGTGGATCTACAAACTGGAAGATGGGATTGACTATGGCCACGTTTGGTACCCATTTTTTTCAAAATGCATTTTTTCTCTTTTCTTTTCAACCACACATTCTTTATTAAAATAATATTACATGTGAACCAAAAACTTTTCTTTATTTTTCAACCACACATTTCCAATCAATTTACCATTTAAAAATACATTTTTACATAAAAATGTTTCCCAAACACCCGCTATATTGAAAAAAATTTCTTTGTCATTAAATATAAAACAATCAGATTGATTTTAGCATTAGTTGTTCAATTCATTTAGGAACTTGAACTACTAGATATTCAAACTGCTTTCCTACATTGGGAATTGGAAAAGTATATCTATATGAGTCAACCCTTAGGCTTTGAGGTGAAGGAGAAAGTGGACTTTGTTTGTAAATTGAAAAAGTTTGATAGACTGATTCTTAAAGGATATGTAAACACTGACTTATGGGTAACAAAGATCAGAATTTCCACTACCACCTATTTCTTTACATTAGGAGATAATTGTATAAATTGAAAATCTCGACTATAGTCTATTGTGACACTATATGTAGCAATACTTGAAGCTGTGAAAGAATGTATTTGGTTGAAAGGCATTTTGTACTAATTGAATTTTCTACATTATGATTCTATTATTTCTCATTGATAGTCAAAGTACATTGTTACATAGTAAAAATCTTGTCTATCGTGAGAGGTTAAAACATTTTAAGGTAAAGTATCATTTTCTAAGAGATAAGTTAGCCTTAGGTGAAGTTAGTCTTATATATATATATATATATATAGGAACTAAAATGTTTTTAGTTAGTAAGTTTAAAGCTTGTTTATCAATTCTACATATTGATAATGGATAATTCTTCTGCAGGTACTTGGATGATGATGATGGAACCTTCCACATATTAGTACACCATTTAAGCATACTGTTGGGAGTTTGTATTTTAGAACCAAGGTGAAGATCGAAAGATAAAAACGTGTTTCCAAAATGAGCAACACATGGCAATTTCCAATTGGTTTATTTGTTGTTGCATGGATTGTACTTTCTCTCCTTCATTGCGAACCATTGATCAAATCCTATGGCTATGATCTATTTTGAGCCTTATTTCACATGTGGTTTAGAGTCTTGGTATTCTTCAGTTTAAATTTCCAAATATAAGAAAATTAAGGGGGATCTTGATTTTTACTCTCTTATTCTATTCTTCTATTTTCTTCCATAGATTGAGTGGTTGATCTTGAATACATCTGTGAATCCTTTTTAACATATTGTAATAGAAACTCGAGTCTATATTTAGCTGTTCTGATTGGTTCCTATTCGAGTGATTTATACAATAGGGTTTAAGGCTTTTCAATTTGTGAATAGAACCGATTAAGAGTCCGATATTTGGTTCCATTTGTAAACATTTCTCTTTGGAAGGTGTTTTTTGGTGCACTAGTGGATTGGACTGGTAGCTAAGCCCTCCAGATTAGGCCTTTAGTGTTGAACTGGGTGAACAATTTCGTGTTCTTAGCATTTTACTTTCTGCATTTTAGTTGCTGTTTTGTGGTTTTGTGAACCTGCCTTTTCAGTTGGTTGATTTAACTAGTAGGTTTATCCTTAATACTATTTGCAGTTGCTCACTGCTATAATCGTCCAATGTGGCATACATACGGCGGTTAGTGATTTGATGCATTAATGTGATAGTTTTTTTTATTGTATTATGCATCAAATCACTAACCGTCACATGTATGTGACCACGTAAGCTACTACGGTATTGAGCGACTGCAAATAATATTATTCTTTACTTATACATCATTGGCAAGAAATAATAAATGATAAATTTATAATACACATCTATATTCTTGAATGCTAATTAATTACTATCCAGTCCAACTACCAAATTATAATGGGGTTATTCATAAAATTATACCAAATTTTTCAAAAGGATTGTTATATTCACACCATAATATTTTATTAATTCATACATTTAATTAAATTAAAGGTTCCTAACTTTTATCCACTGTTACAATTATGTTTTTAAATTTTTTTCATTGCATTCTTATCTTCAACATTATATTAATTAGCACATCTTGTCTCTAGTGATAATTTTCGTTCAAAAATTTAGTTAACGTGCGTTAAAACAAGAGTAGAATATTTAATCATGTTTTTATATATTTTTTGCTCATTTAAAAATACAAGGGAAAAATAAGTTTTTTACACTTTCCTAACAAAATATTTAGATAGAATATGTCATCAGGATGTACTAATTAATGAAAGATTGAGACAAGAATGCAATTAAAAAAAAAAAGTTAAAGATCTAAATGTAACAATGAGTAAATATTAAAATATGGCGCATTTATTAAAAAAAGGTAGTGTGTCTCCTCAACTTAGATTTTAATGGATTGTAAAAGATTATAAATTTTAATGAAATTCATGGATTTGAATAGATTTTTGTGAAATTCTTAAAAATGGTGAAATTTGAAAGGAGTTTGTTATTTATAATTTTAAACTTGAAATCCATCCAAATGTTATAAATCTCTCTATTGATAAAATTCATATAAATTCATGAGTTATTGAGGACGCCTAAATTTTAATGAATTTTAAAATCTATTAAAATTTCAATTGAAGAAATCTAGATTTTTTAATGAATTTAATGAAAATTCACCAAAATCTCAATTGAAGGCATTGAGATTTCATCAAAATCTCATTGAAAATTCATTAAAATCTCAATGTCTTCGATTAAGATTCCACCCAGCATTAGGAAACGCCATAAAAACTTCCGCGACAATGCAAATCCTCACTGTTCTGAAATTTCCTTCCCATTATACTCTCTCACTCTGTCCAATTGTAGCACCTTCTCTGTAAGATAGAGGATTTTGTATATTTATTGTTTTGAGGAGAAATGGCGATGGCAACGATGGTAACGTCGCCGCGGGCGTCACTTTACGTAGGGGACCTGCACCAGGATGTGACGGATGCACAGCTTTTTGATGTCTTCTCGGAGTTCAAGAGCCTCGCGTCTGTACGTGTCTGCCGTGATTCCTCCACCGGCCGCTCTCTCGGTTATGGCTACGTCAACTTTATCTCTCCACAAGACGGTACTGTTTATCACCATACATTCACTTTAATCCTCACGGATGTATGTAACATACCTATGTGTGTATGTTGTGCGTGTATGCGTGTTTTGTTCTCTTGGAAGTGGATTGGAATGCGAATTTTTGTGATTGGTTTGCTGATTAGAATTTTGATTTTGTTCTAAAGGCCATCAGATATGAACCAGTGATTTTGATCACTCTCCCAGAAACAAAGAAAAAACTAACTATTCTGATTGAGAAATAAATATTTGAAAAGTCGTACGTTTATGCACATTGATGCATGTTGTTATTTCAGGTGTACTTGCACGTATAAGATTTTGGAATTCCGTTCATGATTTATGGTTCAGTTAATCTGATTTATTGGCCAACTAATCTAAAAAGAAAGAAAAATGGAAAAAGAGAAAAGAGTTGCACAAGGGGCAGATTTAGATGGCCGCCCTAGCTCGATTCCCAAGGGAGATTTTTTCTTCTGTTTTTTTTTTTTTTTTTTGCTGATAATAGATAGAAATTTTGAATTATATATTTGATAGTTCATATTAATAACAAATATATCTAGTAGATCAGCTAGTAAACCCCTTCACTATTAAATTGGATGTTATGTGTTTGAAACTCTTCAAAAACAATATGTTTTATAATTTTTGTAATTCAACAATTTTTACCAAAAGAAATGCAAGGAAGGTGATTCGAACTTGCTATCTTCCTTATATTGATCACTTTATCATTATGACACTTACGGACTTTTAAAACATAATGTAACAAAATAATATATATTCAATTTTATTGGTTATTGCATGTAGAAACATTTTAACCAATGCTTTGTCCCCTTTCTTGATTTTTTTTTTCTCCCCCCCCCCCCCCCCTCTAATCAATTGATTTGAGAGTTTAGTCAATTTATAGTGGATGAATTTATAGGAAAATTGGCCTTAGTGTCATAAGAAATCTTTTAACAAAACTTATTTAATTAATAAAACATTCTACTTTTCGTTCACAAAAAATCGAATTGCGAACGAGTGAAATCATACAAGTATATAAAATTGATATAAGCACATAAAAAATATCATTTGTTAATATAATAATACTTGTTTAATTAACTTTAATTGTAAACTGAATATTGACATTTTGTTAATATATATTGCCTATTTAATTGAAAAATAAATTAGAGCATTGTGCAGATTATGGAACGATTTTTCATCCAAAATGAAAGTTTGTACCTAATTCTAGTGGTGTATATAGTTCTTCTAGTTCTAATCCGTACAATTTTTTGAATGTTATTAAATTAAAAATTAATAAACAATCCTGTTATCACGGATGTTGGCCGTCGATAATAAGATTTCAATGCTCGCTGTCCGCCCTAGTTAAACTCGACCCCTGGATTCACCCCTTGCACTGATTTGTTGATTTTTATTTGAGGAGAGAATCCCTGTTCTATTCTTTAACTGTCAAAACATCCGGTGATTTATGCATAACCTTTAGTAAGCATTCACTGTGTGTACAAGTGATTTGCAGGATTAACTACTGTTAGTTTATCTGATTTGTTTTTCATTGAAGTTGATAATTTAGAATACACTTTCATGTATGTTTTGCTTGCAAATGTAACTCAGTAGTGAGTTGGTGTGATTTAATAGTTGACATTGTCGGAAAATGATGTTTCAGATATTGATTTATTTATTATTTTTGCCTATTCTGTCGGTTATATTTTGATTAGATTTTAGATTGGGTGGCTTTGTCCCTCTATTTTGGCCATTTTTTATGTATAGATATTGTTACAATTCTTTCTCTTTATTTATATTTGTTTATTTATTATTTTTTTTGTAGCTGCTCAGGCTATAGAGGTGAAAAATCATTCTACCTTGAATGCGAAAGCAATAAGGGTTATGTGGTCACATCGTGATCCAGATGCAAGAAGAAGTGGAATTGGGAATGTGTTTGTCAAGGTAAAATTGCTTCTCAAATGAACAGATGATGTTTCTCAATGAGATTTCTTTATTTAATGTAAGATATTACACTGGTTTTGTCCTTTACTGCAGAATTTGAGTGATTCGATTGATAGTGTGAAGCTTCAAGAAATGTTCCAAAAGTTTGGTAATGTATTGTCTTGTAAAGTTGTCACCTCTGATTATGGGAAGAGCAAAGGATATGGCTTTGTCCAGTTTGAGTCTGAAATTTCTGCAAATGCTGCCATTGAGAAGCTTAATGGATCTACTGTTGGAGGCAAGCAGATGTACGTATTATTCCACTCCCTTCTTACACATCCCCGTGTGCGGAAATTTCTGATGGTGCACGTGGTCATTTCCTTAGGACAAACAATTTTTTCTTACTCCGTAGCACAATGACATTTTATTTGCATAGGTACGTCAGCAAGTTTGTAAAAAAGAGTGACCGGTCAGTACCCAGTCCTGATGCTAAGTACACAAATCTGTACGTGAAGAATTTGGGTCCGGGTGTCACTGAGGAAGTCCTTGAGGAGGAGTTCTCTAAATATGGGAAGATTATCAGCTTGGTCATCTCAAAAGATAAGAATGGGGCATCAAGAGGATTTGGATTTGTCAACTTTGAGAATCCAGATGATGCCAGACATGCAGTGGAATCCATGCATGGATCAAAACTTGGTACAGTCACAAAATTCTGTGGAGGTTATCATATGATCATGTTGCGATAACTTAGATGTTCAAAACTCTTTCCTCATCACTGTTGAGCAGTAAACTTGATTTTTGGACTAAATAATATGGGTTTAAGGATTTTGCTTATAGACCCAAATCAATTAAAAGGCTCAACATGTATAGCATTTCTAGAAGCATTATCTAGAAAAATCTATATAAATATCTACTAGAAAAATCTATATAAATATCTAAGTAAGATATGTAGTTTTATAAAGAATATCTAGAGAATTCTAGGAAAATATTTTGATATGTGGTCTAGGTGTCTCTAGAAAATGTGTGGACTAGAATCTTCTTGTAAACACTATATAAAGGGGTAGTGTCCTCCATTTTGTAACAAGCCAAAAAGTGTGTAAAGTCTTCAATTTGAGAAATACAAGTTCCTTTTTTTCACTTCCTTCTTCCTATTAGTGTTGTCCTCTTAAAAGCCTTAGTCAATCCAAGTTAGTAAACCCATCTTTCATCCAACA